AAAAAAAAATGTACAAAATAATATAAAAATAAACTGTTATATTATAAGAAAAAAAAGAGGCAAAGGTTTCCCCCACTATCAAAAAGTAGAGCATTCCAATTTGGTATAATTTGGCAGCATATATATATGTTTATTTTGGGAATGCAATTACCATTAATTCATTAGGAAAAAAATTAGAACATTTCCAGACCAAAAAGCAGCCTACCAAATCATACCAAACAGAACTTTTCTACTTTTGGGCATTGGAGGACTTTATATCTGATGCAGAAGAAGGTGGTCTGTCATGACGATTGTCCCAAGTCTCTGTGCATGCATACCTTGCTTTAATTAAAAAAGCTCAAGCCTTAAAATCACACCCATGACTATAAGCAGAAACAAAATCAGCCTCTGCTGGATACCTCTAGGAATACCTTAAACCTTTCATGCCAATCTAAACTCTAGAGAAGATCTTTAGCAAAAGATAACATACAGAACCATGACCATTACCTTATTAAGTGTGATCATTTCAACAGAAGATAAAAGCAAGCAGTGGGAAAAATGAGAGCTGCTGATTCTGGGTCACTTGAAGAGTAAAGATAGAAGATAGAGAATTGTAACAGCTCAATTCTTTATCTTGTATCTTTATTATTCTGTTTTCCCATTGACAAAAATCAATTTTGATTTTTTTTTATAGAATATCCCCAAGCCCTAGGCAAAAAACAGTAAGGCATATTTTAACATATAATATCCCAAACATACTACCTTGACTCAAGAGTTAAAGTAGAAGACTACATGTCAGTCCAAATTCTCACACTTCACAGCCCATTTACCTTGCACATAAAATGCTACATGGGATTCTATCAGCATGTAAGGTAAATAAGAAGACTTTCATTAAATGATATGAAAGCACCATAAATAAACTACTTAGATACTTTAAAAATTTGGTGTTTATTGAGTAAGTCACTTTAGCTACCGAAAACAAATAAAAAGTAATTCAAAAGAGGTGGCATCAGATTGTAGTGATGTCATATTATATAAAACCATCTAAAACACTCCTTTTTCTCATCTTCAAAAAACATCTACTTGGCAATTTTACAGCAGTATTCAGGGCCTGCAATTTTTGTGCTTAATGAGGTAGTGTGCTGTAGCGGAAACAGAAAAGTCTTTCAGTCAGATTGACCTGAGTTCAAAGGCAAACTCTTCCACTTATTATCTATGTGATTTGGGACAAGTCATTTAACCTCTCAGAGTCTCACTTTCATCCTACTCTATGAAGTAATTGTAAGATTAAATGAAAAAAATAAAGAATCTAATACACAGTTCATTAAATGGTATTACTTTGCTTCCCATGACAAAATATTTCATAAGAGTTACTTGACAATTCAGAATATAATTAAACCACATTTTATTTGGCCCAAATCACAAAATGTTAAAATTATACATGTTCTGATCAGTCATGTTTTCAAGGAATTGTGTTACAGGGAATCCTAATTCATTATGAAATGGGAGAATTAAAATAGTTAGAAAGTAGAGACTACTGAAAAATTCTGGTTTCTATTTTCCTATATGACTATAGCCCAGATGTGATTAGTTCAGCTGAAATACTTAAGTAAGACCACAGTTCAGGGTTTTTACTGTTTCACAGGAAAGGAAGATTCTAAAGAACCAACCGTAAGGGTCAAAGAAAAAGGACTGGCACGGTAGCCAATTGACAGAGGAAATCAGATGATAAAGGTCAGGCAGTGTTACTCTGAAAACTCACCTCCAGAGCTGCCATCCTTACTACCTGGTTGCTGTGATAGAAGAAGTTTGGTAGAACATCAAAAATAGATGTTTCGGACAAGATGAGTTTCTAAAATGTAAAAAGACAAGCTTAAATCATTACATCCAAAAGAGAACAATGTCAATAGACAATGTTTGACCTTTGAGGCCTCTAGTGAGCCCCAATAATTGTCTATAGATGTCACATATGAGCTTATCCTTTCTGGGCTTCATTAAGAAAATGGGGGGAAATAATACCACCTATTCTCATAGGTCTGTTGTGAAATTAGAAGTTACATACATAAAATTGTTAGAATAACACATTAGCAATGCATTAATTACATGTAATTAAGTGTTTAAGACAATTATTTTTATCCTTCCTGACATATATTTGTATTCTGCTTCTTCAATATTGTTGCATTATTTCATTATATTGTAGTACCTGAGATCTGAACCCCAGAACCCCAATTGAACCACTGTAATTAAACTGTGAATCAAATAAACAAAAACATCATTCTTCCCCTTCCTAGTTATCCAGAAAGAAATCTGACAGAAAGGCTAATGATAGTCTTGCCCAGATATAACAATATTGTACTATGTCCAGGTAGACATTCCTGAGGAAATGATGTTGTTTAAGTAATAATGTCAAGGTCCTTTCCATTCAAAAATCAGCCAATACTACTGTAAAACTGGCTCCTTATAAAAGCTTAATAATAAGCATTGTAATTAGATGAGATTAAGTCTCTAAAAGACCAATAACTACCTAATTATCCATCTGATTCAAATATTAGAAATCCGTGTTATCACCTAATTCTGGCCTGAGTATTTCTACATAAAAACACAAGAGGTAAAGGCTTCAGGACACATCTATCAAGACAGGCCAATTTAATTTTTAAAGTTAAACCACAATTCTAACAATATTTTCATAAAACAGATTCATATGTTAAATTATTTTAGAAAGTCAGGGTATGAACCTTCACAATCAAAATTAACTAATTAATTACTTACATTATGCTTGGGAATAAAGGGGACAAGAGTTTGGGGAGGATAAAAAGAATTAGTTGTATACCTGCAGGTTTTCAATGCAAAACTGATGTCCATACATGTCAATAGCTGATAGGAAAATAGACTCTACTTGGTTATGGCGAAGCTCATATGATGGCAAATGGGAGGCAATAAGAACCTAGCGTGAGAGCAAAATAAGAGGCATAAGTTCCTGAGGGAGTGATTATTCTAGGCTCCTATTAGGTAGTTCTGATACAAAAGCAATAAATATAAATCTGTAAGTGCAGGCATCAAAGATAAAACAGAGACCAAGTAAAACAACTTCTAGGTCCTGTAACATAAGGCCAATGCCACCAAGTACTGCATTTCAGTTGACTCTCACCATGATTTGTGTTGTGAGCAATTTCCCATTGGGGGCAGGGGGAAGGGAGAGAAAACAGCTTCAATCAAGTTCCATCAGTGCATGTGATTTACCATTGCAAAGCTGCTAGTCCTGGGGATTGCATGACTAGCTGTTAATTGGGAATCAGGTCTGGCGGGGAGCAGCTGTGGAGAAGGTAGATGCAGCAGAGCCAGCCTTTTGCGACTCTGAAGTAGAAAGAGACCAGGAAAAACTGCTTTGACAGCCCCAGGTACTCGGTACCAAGGAGAAGACGTCAGGATGTGCCACCAATGCATGTGAGGGGCTGAGTGAGAGCAGTGTCACAAACAAACAGGAGCGCAGTAGGGCCTGAATACCCTCAGCAGGTCACTGAGAGGTTCAATAACTTTGAGTAGTTCAGTGACATGGATACAATTGTAGAGAAAGCAGAAGGTCACTGAACAGCTTCAAATGCTGCTTCCTTGTCATGTCCAAGCACCGCAACACAAAAGGAGAGCCAACTCTCAGCTTCCCTGCTGAAACCTTTTGGAATGGAAATGAAGACTATAGGGTGAAACTAACTGGACTTCTCTGGAGCTGTTCTCACTGCTAGCATCTAAGATTCATTATCTTTCTGCTTTCCACACTTGATTCCCACCCGCACTCCCCCCCCCACTTTAGTTTTCATCTGCTGCTAAGTTCCCTTTGAGAAGTAAGAAATATGGAGTGTGTTACCTTCCCTCAGCTCCCTTTCCTTCTCATGACCCTGGTTTACTATCACAGGCTACTAGGAAGCATAGAGAATGATACCAGGATTTGGTAAGGAGAAAAGGGTTATTTTTAAAAGAATCAAGGTTAATCTTTCCCTTTTTCTTTAAAAAATATATGCCACTATGGTGATGGCACATGGGTGATTTGGTGATAGGAAACCCTAGAGGACTGCAACTGAGATGGAAAAAGGCACAAAAATATGTAAAAATAAACTATTATAAAATTTTTTTAAATGGTAAGATATATATATATATATATATATATACGAAATGAAAACATTTGTCCTGAGTACAGAAGACATGCATAGAAAATTTTGTGATTTTCTTAAGATGACTGGGTGAAAAGTTTACTGTGCTGCGACTGCCAGCTTATGAAAACCATCCCTCCCTCAAAAACACCAGCACATGTCCTTACCTGGCGTGCTCGAAGTGCCACTTTTGCATTGGTTGTTTTACTGAGTTGGGTTAGCTCTGTGAGGATATTCAGCAGCTCATCAGTGAGGGTAGGGTCCCGACCACACAACTGATCCTAACAGATCATGTAAAAAAGAACACACACACTCATTTAAAAAGAATGAGGTAGATAGGCCTTTGCAATTTGGAAAAGGGAATAAAAACAAAATAGACATAGGCAGACTGATTAGAAAATGCCCATTTCTTGTTACTTTTACCGTAAACAATGTGATAAAGAAGATCCCAGAGCTGCTAGGAAGAGGCCCAAATCACTCAGTCATTCAGATTCAAAATGCCTAATGCATTTTATAATCAGCACTATACTTTTAACACAGAAGAAATCATCAGAGGCCAGTAAAAGGGGTCAAGGGGGAGTCTGAGTAAGAATAACAGATGATGTCTCAAAGATTTAAGAGATTTTAAATAAATATAGACTAAAGGTTTGCCTGCCACTTTTGAAAAAAGGCAGAATAAAACAAAAAGGAACCATTCTTGGTATTTTTCATTCAGCAAATGTTCAGCATTCAGGAGGATGCAAAACAGAAACACAAGAGCAAATTATTCATTTATAAATAGACATTATAAATAGACCATCACATATTCTGACAATTAAAGACCAAAAATCATCCATCCCCTTGTACAAACCACCATCCCAGTATATCTAAATGCGATGAATCCTTAGCTGGTATAGAGGGGGGAACAAACTACTGCTACACAATCTGTTCTATGGTTTATTTAGGATTGGGTCAATCCTTTCCTAAAAATTAAAAATTGTTAAGACAAAAATCTCCATTATAGCTTGAGAAAAAAAATTTTTTTTTCTGGACTAGAATATCAATTTATTCCTTAAAATTTATCCATCAATGTTGTAATTTTCATATAAGCTGAAAACACTGCAGATGCAGGTTTTTTATGCATGTTTGTCCTTTGAAATTTGTGGCTATTTATAGTAATTCTTAAAACAACACCATATAAAACAATCAGTTAGGTGTAGTTCCCTCTACTTGGAGTTTGAAATAATTGCCTTTATATATTAGTGAAATTTTAATCTGCCTGTACTATCAATAGGATGTGAAGACAACCAGATCCCAAAAGGCTTCCTATTGCTGCTTTTTAATCTTCTCTCCGCCGTTGATTATTCGTCCTTTCTTGAACAATCTCCATTTCATACTTAACCTGCCATTTCAGGGATACTCTTTGCAGTCCTTTATCGCAGGATAAAGGACTGTATAAATGAAAGCTTGGAGCTTTTGGTGTTTGGCCCACATAAGTAATTCCCAAACACTTTTTCCACAACTCTACCCTCTTCCATATCACAAAGGTAAATAGTTTTAGAATACTCAGCATGTTTCTCAAACATCTTAAGTATTTTCTGTTTTTCCAATCCCCCAACCAGAGGTCTATTCCAATTGTCCAGTGATAAAACACATGATGGAATTTATAATTAAGGAAATACAAGTATTGTTTTCACCTATTTAACGTAAAAAGGAATTACTCATCTGAGTGGGAGGAAGCAAGGTTGTTAATGAAGTGGAATACAAACCCAGAGTTAGGTTGGGCATGACCTGCTCCACTATAACAGCAAAAAGTAAACAATAATGCAAATAAGTCTCTTTTTGTTGTTGTTGAGAATCACTGAGCAAGAGAATATATAAAATCACCAGAGACAAGACCATAAAGAGACAGAATAGGTAAAAGAATTTGTAACGGTGGGTAGGGAAATCAAGATTAAGATTTTCCTTACTTACATTCCACTTTCCTAATGTTCCTAAGAGAGGAAACATATCCTTTCTGAGGTAATCATTTCAATCTTGAGAATGACTCATAAAAGATCTAAAACCTGGGATGTATCCTGGGTAACACAACTCAGTGACTATATAAATACCCAGTCTCACCAATAACAACAGAAGGACACTTGCCACCTACCCTTTGCATTAGATTTACAAGTTTGCCCTTAAAGGAAATCAGATTTATTTTTTAAGAATAAAGAAAAATGGAAATTATCTACCTGCTTAACTACAGATGATTGTTAACTTAAAAAAATAAAACATGGGCCCTCCCTGGTGGCACAACGGGTTAAAGCACAGCACTGAGAAGCTAAAGCCACTTCAGAATGAGTTCAATCCCC